AGAAATATCTATGATGTTAATACCTTCAGAAAATTTGACAAAAAGTTTGTCCCAAAATTCATGCAAGAAGTAATTTTGATTGAAAACACAGGTTTATAATGAAAAATTGTAATTTGTTTATTGATTCTTAAAGTATATAGTATAGGGTTATATATGAAATAGCACTTCGGGTAAATGGCCTCCACGGCTTTGCTGGCATACAGGCACTCTTTTGTTGAAAATTTCCATGACCGTTTTGCATAAATGTGGCTGAATATCGATGAGGCTCATTTTCATCTTGATGGCTTGGTTAATCAACAAAAATGTCACATTTGGGGTCAGAAAATCCACAAGTGATTGTGGGAAACAAATGCATCCACAACGTGTCACTGTTTGGTGCGGATTTTGGGCTGGAGGCATCATCGGACCATTCTTCTTTGAAAATGCGGCTGCTCAGGCAATAACAGTTAATGGTGCTTGCTATCGTGACATGATAATCCAGTTTTTTTGTGCCAGCAAAGCTGTGGAGGCCATTTACCGAATATGCTATTCCATACATAACCCTATACTGTATGCTTTATGAATCAATAAGAAATTTACAATTTTAATTATAAACCTGTGTTTTCTATCAAAATTACTTCTTGCATGAATTTTGGGACACCCTTTACAAGGTTTTGAAGCTTGTCAATACAAAATAGCAGACATATCAAATCGCATATATATCAACCTATGTGTAACTCCATTTATTGAAAAAATCTGCATTGTTAACGAGTACACTCAGTATACAGTCATGTTTTCAAATTTATCAGTTCAGAGTGAAGAAGCTTTGTGCTGTGATGATAATGATTCTTCAATAAAGGTTTGGGTCTTCCTGATTCTCATTTTCTCTATCATTTCAGTATGTTTTGGGTAAGAATATAAGACCCATAGCCTCAAATAAAAATAAACCAAATAAACACCATATTTTTCCCATTGATTCTTAGAGAGAAAGTATTGAGGGATGTGGGAGAGAGAGACAGATAGAGAGAGAAGAAAGAGAGAAAGAAAGAGAGAGAGAGAGAGCGAGAGAGAGCGACTGAAGCTTGGAATTGAACCTGCAACCCAGGAACTTGTCCTTGACCTGGAATTGAACCGGAGACCCTTCAGTGCATGGGCCATTACTCTAATCACTGAGAAAGGGATCACTAAGACATTTTGGGATTAATTTGTCACAGAATTCTATCTGCTGAACAGTTAAATTTGCACACACTGATTATCAGCTGTACTATCCGAATAGTTAAGGAAGCTCTATACAGAAACAGATCAATTTTTCTCAGTGACTACACTTCCAAAAATCCTCATGTACTTGGAAATAGCCTTGAACTTTTATCATTAAATATGTTTTGGTAGAAATTGTACACAGCATATGAATTCCAAATTTTCCTTAGTTAAAGACAAATTTAAGAATTCACAAATATTATCTGCAATGTAAGCATAATGGTTATATATTAGAATAGCATAAATTACAACATACACAACACAGCATTTTATTTTATTTTATTTTATTTTATGATGTTTTCTTGAATTACTTGCATAGAAATCAAACTACAGTTAGTTCATCTAATCATTTTTCTTCTATAATTCTGAAAAAGAAAGAATTGGTATATAAGCATATGAATACTTTCATTGACAGCATGTTAATTTCATTCCTTTATCCACTCAATTGATAAACATCCACTAGTATTTGTCCTAGTACCTTGTCCACAGCCTGTGACAGGAGAGCATGTGGTGGGATGTCAGGAGCGCATCTTCCAAAGGACTGATGGGCAGAAAGGCCCTGGGATGGGAAGGGGCCCTGTACACTAATTCCAGTCACTAATTCCCCATTTGTAATTTTCACAAATGGCTGACCCACAAGATTTCTTCTGAAAAAGAACTTGTCCAAAACTACATATTAAACAAAAAGAATGGAAGCTGTAATCTCCTAGATAATCTTTCAATTTACAAAAGACTCAGTGATTAGTCCTCTTCCACGTTTTAGTGTCTGCTGTGCTATATTATGTAATGGAGGGCCTTCTTCTTATAAACAGTTTTACAAAAAGCCACATGGGATTAAGATTTTGTGACAAAGGGACACATTGCTCTGAACTATCCATCTATGACCATGAATGGGCATGTGCCACCCCCCTGACCATGCATGTCCCTTAGAAGTGAAGGGTAATCAGTGGACACAAGTCACCAATTGTGCAGGTGTCTTTTCAGACACCCTGCCCACTACTGAGGACGCTCATGAACACCAGGACTGAAGTTGGACAATGAATTATACTCATTCTGAGGCTGGGTCTCCTTTAATCTTCTCAACCCCTACAGGGTTTTAGTCTACTCTACCTTAAAGTCTTATAAATAAAGTTTTATTTTAACACAGCTACTCCCATTCCTTTTACATATTATTTTTGGCTGCTTTCATATTATAATAGCAAATTTGAATATTTTTAGCAGAAACCATATAGACCACAAAACCAAAAATATTTCCCTTGGAGCCATTTGAGACAAATTTGATAATCTCTGATATGGTGATAACATAAAATTTTACTAAGCCAAGTATCATCACAAATATATATTTTATGAATTATATAACATTGATGTTCTCGGAAGAGAAATATGATGTGTATATATAAAAGCAATTGCGATAACAAGTTTATCACTAAACAGAGAGAAAAAATTGTTTGTGTTTTCTCTGTTCAAAAAATCTTTTATAGTGACTACTATTGCAATCATAGTACCTTCACACTTTAAAGGTAAAAGAAGCTGAACTTCATTTTTGCTGTCAGAAATTGGTATGTTTCAAGGAGGACAATTCAACCCAGAGTACCTTGGGATTTTCACAATAACAAGCCTTGCTATAAATTGGTGCCATTTCCATGTACTTATCTATAATAATGAAAGTGTAATATGCTAATTAGACTGGACAGGCAAACGACCTTCTGGACGTCCTTCCTGATGTCCTTCCAGATGAAGCTGTGGTGGTGGATGCCGAGGCATAGGCAGTTAGGGGCAATAAGGTAGACAGGCGAGTAGTTAGGAGCAATCAGGCCGGCATGCAGAGTGGTTAGGGGTGATCAGGTAGGCAGGCAGAGGCAGTTTGGGGCAATCAGGAAGCTAGCCAGAGGGGTTAGGGGTGCTCAGGCAGGCAGGCAGGCAGGGGAGCAAGCAGTTAGGAACCAGTGGTCCTAGATTGTGAGTCAGACATCCCCCGACGGGTCCCAAATTGCAAGAGCGTGTAGACCAGGCTGAGGAACCCCCACCCCTCTTGCCCAATGCACGATTTCGTGCACCAGGCCTCCAGTCTATAACAATAAAAGCATAATATGCTGATTAGACTGGACAGCCAAACAACCTTCCAGATGTCCTTCCAGATGAAGCCGTCACTGCCAGGCTGAGGCAAGCCACCGAGGCAAGCCACCGAGGCAAGCCGCCGTGACTGTGAGGGCCGAGCCCCTTGCACAAATTTCATGCTTCGAGCCTCTAGTACTAAATAAGATGCTAGCAGTTGATCATCAGATGAATTCTTAAAGCAATATGAGCAGCCTGGCTTGACCTCCATACTAAAGCCAGTTCTCATTACGTGGTGTGGATCACTCTCCTCCATTTTATGACAGGATAGAGGGCAGGGTAGGTATATGTCTGAGTGAACTAGAAGATAAAAAACTGTTTAGTCATGTGGTTTTCCTCCTGTCTGTATTCAGAAACCTGCAAGAATCATTTGAAGCCATTTACTGGTTCACAGTTCACTACATGTCAGAGTGTCATTCTTACAGGAGGTCTCACTGTGAACAGATCTAAGATATTTCTTACCAAGCGACTCTTAACTACTGAAATAGCTGGATGATGGCTGGATGACTATAATAAGAATGCACAGATATACTCACCACTAAAAACTTATCATCGGCTTTGTTCCAAAGTTTCTTTGAATCATTTAGGTTTTCCCCCAGCTCTGCAGACCAAGAAGAGAAAATTGTGTTTGTGAAGGCTCTTAGATGAGAAAACATCTAAAGGAATGATGATGTGTAACCTATGCTATTGTCTGTGCTCTGTGAAGTTCTCTGGGGGCTAAATAATTATCTATGATGTTAGTTATTAACTATTATTAGTTTTTTAACCTTAAAGGAGCTTAACTTATCCTTACATAATCTAGTGGACAAAGACAGTCATTTTGTCTGTTCTCACGCAAGCAGAATTGTTCTAACACTCACCATCTACACTATAATAATCAGAATAAAAGAGTGAGCAACCCACTTCCTGTTTATTGTGCTCTAATATCTACACATCTCAGACAGACATAGGCCTTAAAGAATCTCAAAAGACAAAATAACTCAGAGCTAATTGGTAAGATGAGAGAGTTAAAATGCTCATACTTGGATTTCCATGTGATACCAAATTGCTAGTTGACAGGGCTTTCCATGGTTAAAAACCAGCTCTTTTTAATTTTTTTCATCTTCAAAACAACTTTTTTTTAAAATATTTATTGATTATGGTATTACATATGTGTTTTTATCTCCCCATTGCCCCCCCGCCCAACAGCCTCCATTCATTCCCTCACCCCCCTGTTGTCTGTGTCCATTGGGTAGGTTTATATGCATGCATACAAGTCCTTTGGTTGATCTCTCCCTTTTACCTCCACCCTCCCCTGCCTTCCCTCGGAGGTTTGACCGTCTGATCGATGCTTCTTGCTTCCAGATTCAAAGATGCCTGTATTGTTATTTCCCCCCCCCTGGATACACAGTAGAGCCAACTGGGAAGGCATATGAAGTACCCTGGTCTAGACCATATCTATAGAGGCCCTAATTTCCTGGTAGTGGGTTTTGTGTAGGGCCCAAATACCATATTTTTAAAATTCTTCAGGGTTGTCTAGTGGCAGCTAAGGTTGAGAATTACTGCTTCAGAGTATAGATAGTGAGATAGAGAGATAGGTAAGGCTCCAAATGTAGCTTTTATTTTGAAAGTCACTTACAATTTCTGAATATAGCAAGGTATCTGTTTCTTTACCTGGTTCTCTCAAGCACTCCCTTCAGGTATTCCTTCACAGCCGGCTGTTTTAGAAGTCTGGATAACTCCTCAGTCAATATTGTATCTGTGTGGCGTTTATTTGGTCCCTGGTCTTCGGAGATGTCAGTGCTAAGAAAATTGAGGGAAAGCAAACAACGTTGTTTTATTAAAAAAATGATATATATGCCAAAATTCCTAGATTTCTTGGTGTCAGCTAAAACGGAATTCCAATAACCCACTCATTTTCTGTCACAATTATACTAAAACAAATATACCCCTAAACCTAAAATTGGGAAAAGAGGAATAATCCAACACATTAGACATTTTCTATGATGTTGAAGACACAATCTGTATTAATTGAGCAAATGCTTTGTTTTATATATATATAATCAAATATACCCCTAAACCTAAAATTGGTAAAAGAGGAATAATCCAACCCATTAGACATTTTCTGTGATATTGAAGGCACAATCTGGATTAATTGAGCAAATGCTTTGTAATATGTATATATGGAATTATTTGCAGTTGTGTTCTGCCACTGGGAGAAAATATTCTTTAAAAATAAATGCTTCTTTAGAAGCTTTGACACATGAATGATGCCACCTCTATATTCAGTTATTGGCTGTTTTAAAAAAAGCATCTTTCAATGCTTGGTTTGAGCAGGAAAGTTAAAAACAAGTACCATGGTTTAAGTTAAAATATGCTTTACTTTATACTCTGCCTCATTTAGTTTTTATTTTGTCGACTTCAACTGGATTGTAGATTTACAAATATGTGCTACCAAGATAATATAAGTGTGTGAGAAGCCTGTGAGCATTTCATGACTCCACAGTCTTATCTCCTATCGTATAGGCCGGGTGTGTCCAAGTAAATTAAAGATGACCAAGAGTTATCAAATTGCAAAATAGGAAATGAATCATTTACATTGAAAATATAATTTTCAAATTAATTAATCATATTGTGTTCCATAAGAAAAATAAATTCTCTTTACCTTGCTCGTTTTTCAATAAGGGACTCCGGGTACTCTTTGGGAGAATAAGGATCCAAGAGACTACTAATGTCACTGGTGGAAACTCCATCAGCATGTCTGACATTCCTAAAACAAGGAAGTCAGAATAGCCATTATTATAGAAATTATTTTTAAATGTTATTTTGTCTAAATGAGTAAGAAAGAAATCATCAGCTCATTTTGAAAGCCTTTCATGTAAACTCAAATTCAAAATGAGATTCCCTAACAACCTAATCAAAGATATTTTCTTATCATTTATATCAAAATATATTCCATATTTGCAACCCAAAATTTTGCAAAATTAAAAAAAAATACCTTTTTGGAATTATATGTCAGTGTTAAATAATACTCCCTGACAAAATCTATAAAACTAATTCTCTGTACACATTGGTGGAAAAAATATATTTAAATTAGTTTCTATTTCATGATTTATTCTGCTACTTAGAATCAAAACATATACAAAAAAGAAACTACCTTGATTTCAGCAAAAACTTTATTACACCTTTTGCTATTTCTTCTCCAAACTATTTTGCATGCAAAATCTCTAAGCATAGAGAGGACCCTAGCATCCAACAAACAAGTTTTCTGTCCTTATGAGGAAGCTTCTATTCTTTGCCTTCAGTAGAGAGCTACTGCCTCTGTACTTAAAAGCTGCTCTTGACCCATTTTCTGTGAATGAACGGTGTTTCTCATTAGACATTTTTCTTTGCAAAGACATGTCACTTCCTCTAACATGGAGTTCTAAAGGTGAAAGTTTTCCTAGAATTGGTGGAATCTCTGATGTTGATATTTTGTGTAACAGAATGCAAGTGAGTGGTAAGTTCATCTTGGCTTCTTCTATGTTACAGCCTCTGCATGAAAATCATGCACAGGGGCACAAGCTGCCATAAATGAGGTGGATAAAGCCATGACACATGGAAATGTGTTTTGTTGGAGAAAAAGCTTCATGGAAACACAAAAATAAAAATAAAAAATAAATTTCAAAAGTACATTTTCTTAAATACTACTCCTTAAAAATGAACTCACCTGCCATTTTTGACTAACGCAATTTGCAACCAGTCAGGGTCTCCTTTTACTAAAACTTGATCAAGTCAATTTTTCCCTTCAAATGGTATTCTGTCACCAAGTATAATAAATCTCTTTCTCAGGAAAAACACTTATATTTTTACAATCATTTTAAATGAGACACACAAAACCTTGGGAAATGTCACCCATTTAAAAAAGATGGGTAGAATAATTGACAATAGCTCCTATTGTTTATGACAGTATAAGTAGTAAAATTTTGTTTAGCTCGGGAAATGATACCATACAACTTTTATCCATGAACTAGAGGCCTGGTGCATGAAATTGTGCACTGGTAGGGTCCCTAGGCCTGGCCAGAGATCAGGGCCTAGCGGGGCCTCCTGGCTTCCAGCTGGGGCCTTCTTTTTGGATGCCCACCAGGGCCTCCCTTCCCCAGCTGCTTGCTGTTGGCCGGGGCTTTACTTTTTTCCGTGCCCCCCTGGGTGGTCAGTGCACATCATAGCGAGTGAAGTCCAGATCTCCCGGTCAAACTCCCAAGGGGACACTTTGCATATTAGTCTTTTATATATATAGATAAGACTAATCTGATCAATTTGATCAGAGCATTAAGCCATGTACACTTCCTTGGTAATATCTTCCCTTTGAGAAGTTAAATTTTACAGGAAGAAATATTTTATACACAATAGAAATTTTGAAAATATTTTAACATTCAATATGAAAACTAAGAGCACTTTAGTATTTGTTGATATTTAATATCAATTGTCTGAAACATTCCTCAAGTACTTTTATTTCTGTAAATCTCAAAACCCAGCTTCAAAGATTCACCTTAGTATGATATATTTATCTGTATTGATCAAGTCCAAAGAATCAGCCCATTTTTGAATGACTACTCAAATTTATTTAAGTTAGTGGGGACTTGAGGTTTCTAATCTTATGTATGAATACAACTTCAGTAGGCGATGTATGAAGGACTAATCATGTTGACCTGATGTTTAGAAAAGGGTATTAGATTAAAAATCATAAAATATCAACCTAATATTTCATTAAAATTCACAATTTAAAAAACTGAGTTTTCCAAAACAACAAAAAGTAAATTCCTGTTTTAAATTAATTTTTTTTAAATTACAGTCAGAGAAACACAAATACCATATGACTTCACTTGTATGAGGAATCTAGAGGACAAAATAAATTAACAAACAAAATATAATCAGATTCATGAACACAGAGAACAGACTGATAGTTGCTATAGGGGAGAAAATTCTGATTTAGATGAGACGGAAGGTTCTGCTCTCTCAATGAAAGGGAACTTACCTCAGAGCTTCTGCTTCCAAAGGAGGCACGGCCAGTGTTTGTGAGAAGAGCACGCTGAGAAGGATCATGAGCACAAGGAGCTGGGAATTCTTTTTGGTTTCCATCTCTGCACCTTGAAAGGGGGAGAGTCACATCAGATTTTCCAACCACAGACCTCACCAGCCAGGCCATTCTTCTTTTCTTTAATGGGGTTACATTGGTTAATAAGATTATATGTGTTTCTGGTGTAGAATTGTATAACACATTATCTGTACACTAGAGGCCCAGTGCATGAAATTTGTACACTTCGGTGGGGCCTGGGGGTTCCTCAGCCCACCCTGCTCCCTCTCACAGTTCAGGAGCCTAAGCAGTCGGACATCCTTAGTGCTGCCATGGCTGCAGGAGAGGCTCTGGTCACCACCATGAGCCGGGCTTCCTGCTGAGCGGTGCTCCCACTGTGGGAGTGCACTGACCACCAGTGGGCAGCTCCTGCATTGAGCGTCTGCCCTTGGTGGTCAGTGCATGTCATAGTGAGCTTTCGTTCAGTTGATTTGCATGTTAGCCTTTTATTATATGGGAATGCATTGTTTGCTAGGCACTCAAAGACTAGTCTAATTCCATTACCATATCTTTAACCCCTTTTACCCCCTTCATCTCCCTCCAACTACATTTCCCCTCTGGTAACCACCATCCTATTGTCTGCCTCTATGAGTTTCTGTTTAGTTTTCTTGTTTCATTTGTTGCTCTGCTTTATATGCCACACATAGGGTTTCCAAAAAATGTATACACATACTTTAAAAAATTATGAAGGCAGTGTTTATTAAAATTCATTTCATTTTCAAAATTGAGCTCTCAGCTGTTAAAGTGTGTATACATTTTGGGGACAGCGTGTATGAGTGAACTTATGTGGCTCTAGACTGCTGTCTGACATTTCCCTTAGCCTTTTACTGTCAGGCTCTATCTATGTTGTCCCAAATGGCAATATTTCATCATTTATATGGCTGAGTAGTATTCCATTGTACATAAGTACCACTTCTTTATCCAAACATCCATCAAAAGTCACAAAGGCCCAGGAGGTTTGGCTCAGTGGATAGAGCATCGGCCCATAAACTGAAGGGTCCCTGGTTTGATTCTGGTCAAAGCCATGTACCTTGGTTGCCGACTCCTCTCTGGCCTTGGCCCTGGTCATTGTGTGTGCTGAGGCAACCAATCGATTTATTTCTCTCACATCGATGTTTCTCTGTCTTTCCCTCTCTCATTCATACTCTCTAAAATCAATGGAAAAATATTCTTGGGTGAGGATTAAAAATAAATAAAATGTGAAAGACAAAGAACGTCCAGGTAAACCGAAAATGTTTGAAGACCAACAATTACAAACATTATTGGATGAAGATGTGTGTCAAATTCAGAAACAACTTGCAGAAAGATTAAATGTTGTTCAGCAGAAAATTTTGGATCATTTACAAGCAATGCGAAAGATTTTAAAGGAAGGAAAATGGGTGCCACAGCAACCAAAGACAAATAGAAAACCAAAAGGTAATCAGTAAAATGTTGCTTCAATGGCACGAAAGAAAGTCTTTTGTGCATCGAATTGTGACAGACGATGAAAAGTGGTTGTTTTTTTTTGAGAATCCCAGATGCACAAAATCATGGGTTGATCCAGGTCAACCATCAACATTGACTGCAAGGCCAAATCGCTTCGGAAAGAAGACAATGCTCTGTGTTTGTTGGGATCAGGAAGGTGTGGTGTATTATGAGCCTCTAAGGTGAATCTGTTAACACTGATCGCTACTGACAACAAATAATCAACTTGAACCACATTTTGAACGTGAAATGACCAGAATGGGCCAGAAGACACGGCAAAGTAATTTTGCTTCATGATGATGCACCATCATACACTTCAAACCCAGTTAAAGACACGTTACAAGATCTTGCCTGGGAAGTATTAACCCACCCACTGTATTCACCAGACCTTGCTCCTTCAGATTACCACTTATTCCAATTGATGGTACACACACTTTCTGAGCAGCACTTCAAAACATATGAAGAAGTGGAAAATGGGTCTCTGAATGGTTTGCCTCAAAACAAGAAAAGTTCTATTGGGATGGTATCCACAAGAAACTGGAAAGATGGGGGAATGTGTAGATAGCAATGGACATTACTTTGAATAAAGCACTTTTGATGTTTCTCTTGAAATTATTGTGATTTCTTTGATTACAAATTCCACATGATTAACCGTTACACCTAGTACTTCCTAGGTATATATAACTGACATGTAACAGAAAAATTATCACTAAAAAGCAAATTTAAAACCTGAAAAACAAATGCTCCCACTGAACCCTTCAGTCAAAAATTTATATGCAAGCAAATAACAAAAAAGTACCCTACTTGAATGCATAATTTTAAAAAGTATTGAGTCAAAGAGCAAGCAGGGAAGGCATCTTTCAACCAAAAGAATTCAGAAACTTCATTCACATGTGAAGAGCTGAGGCATTTCTATGCTTACCAGGTGACTGGGAGTCTTTTCTTTGGCTCCACCAGTTCTCGCCCTTAGAGTTAAACTAGAACTTGGTTCTGTCTAAGTTTTGGGTATTATTCCCAGCAGCTGCTTTCACTCTATCTTGACCAGCAGTCCAAATGCCCATCATTTTGTAGGGTTTATATGTAGGGCTGAGCCATCACAAAACTCTGAAAAAGGTCACAGCAGCTCTCCTACAGGGTGAATAGGACTGGGAGTTCTTACTTAATTAGTATTATATGTGATTTATATAAATCTATAGTGAGTTCATGATGTAAAAGATAAAGAGGAAATGTCTTGTTCTTTAGATAAAAAGAGTACTGAGTTTAATGTGAAATATTTTAATCTTAGCAGAAAGATATAAGTGAATGATTAATGCTGTAGCCAGAACCATTGAGTTTACTTCAGTAAATAAAAAAATTATGTGCAGGAAAACATTAGAAATGCAAAAAATATGTTTGTTATGCAATAAATGTATAATTCTCTTTTATTACAAAGGATAAATTCTTGTAAAACCATCTTTATTTTTATACTATTTTTGTAGATCCTGATTTAAATAACCTTTTTTCAGATGCATACTAGTACATATATATTTTTAATTCTTTTTTATTTGTCTATTTATTTATTTATTTACTTATTTTTATATATAGAGAGAGAGGAAGGAAGAGGGAGAGACAGAGAGAGAGAGAAGTACTGATGAGAGACACAAGGATTGGCTGTCTCCCGCACTTGCCCAGACCGACCCGTGAACAGAGCCCTCAAGGGAGGAGTGTGCCCATGACCAGAATGGAATCTGCAATTCTGCAGTCTTTGGGCCTATGCTCTAATCACTGAGACAACCCGGCTAGCATGTTGACATCTGTACTAATTTTAAAAACATAGAGAAATAATTCTCCAACATTTTATTATAATTCCTTTATGTTGAAATTAATCCCAGTATAAGAGTTTCATAAAGTCTCCCGGCTAGGGAAACATGCACAGTGTAGTGGAAGGTGGTAGTACCACTGCTGTGTGACATTTCTATAGAATGTCATCCTTCCCAATGCACTCTCTCACACATAATCTCAAATGATTAAAAACTAAGTTACCAGAACGTTCACCTCCAGGAATTCCACTTTTCTTCCTTTTCAAAAGTCATACTAACCTTTTTTTATAAATCTTTGCACTGCACAGCGTTGCCGTGTTTCTCCCCCATTCTTCAACACACACAAACACCCATGCCAACTTTTGAATATCTCAAACACAGTCACTTGCAGATGTTTGCCAAGAACTAGTTGGACAGCACAGATAAAGTACCATGCTCTGATACCCACTTAATTTCTAGTGATGGTATCCATTTGCTTTGTTCAAAGCAGACTGGTCCAGTAACAGAATATCCTTCTATGCCAAATCATATATTACAATACAGTTACCAGAAAAATTAAATAATTTAAATTTAAAAATGGCTGCAAATTTGTTTTCCCAATGACAGCTCTGTCTTAATCCTAGGTTGTTGTGGCTTAATTCCAGGACATCTTCATTTTACCTGATTATTACAAAGAAGAGGTTGAAATGATTCTCATATTAAAATGTTTATCTTTACCCCTTTATCACCCAGGTCACAGTGCAGCAATTTTATTAAAGACCATCAACAGCAAAGTAAGTTGGTTAAGAGTCACAGAAAAACTGATGCTGTGTGACAGGCAAAAAAACCTCAATGAAAATAGACAGAAATCTGACTATTATTTCATCTAAGGGAGCACTTAGCATTCACAAAGAGTAAATATAGTGGATTTTTCCAGTGGTAAGTCTAATATTTCCCCTTTTAGTAATAAAACAAAAAGAAATAAAGAAATAAATCCATTTTATTATATCTGGATAAATAAAACAGCAACTTAAGAATGAAATCATGTTTCCCTTATAAACTAAATCACTTAGCATTCACAAAGAGTAAATATAGTGGATTTTTCCAGTGGTAAGTCTAATATTTCCCCTTTTAGTAATAAAACAAAAAAGTAAAGAGAAATAAATCCATTTTATTATATCTGGATAAATAAAACAGCAACTTAAGAATGAAATCATGTTTCCCTTAAACTAAACTAAACTAAATCAAACTTAACTAAATTTAAACTAAAAATAAAACTGAATACAACAAAGGTATCATCGCACCATCTGCAGATTCAGTCTTTATTCACACATTAGTTTTCATACAATTGTTTCTTCATTCTTTCGAAATGGATGTATTGTGCTTTTATTAGTTTGTACATTTGAGCGATTACATAACTGTTTGAAGGTGGCATGACCTTCAGTTACTAAGGACCCTTCTTATTGTTAGTTAATTCCATAGTGGATTCTAGTGCCCAGTCTGCTTTGCATGAGCAGGCATGCACACAAGAACATCAGGAAATTCAGAATTTACATCAGATTTAGAGAGAGAAGTCCATTATTTCCATGGGAAGAGGCCAAGAAGAAATCTGGCCATCTTCTCCTCAGAAACATTATCAAAGGCTTCACTCTGGGTTACTGTGAATTGACTTTCCCAGTCCCCAGTGATTCCTTTTCCCATAAAATGTACTTTGCTTGTGTCTGTCTAGGTATCAGATGTTAGAGAGCAATTGCTCTTTTTTTTAAATTAA